AAATTGGGGTAGAGATTGCAGTTCAACAAGCTTTATTATCACAATGTATTCTGCGCTAGACGCAGTGATTATTATCACAATGCATTCTGCGCTGGACGCAGTGATCACTATTAAAATGCATTCTGCGTTGAACGCAGTTTATAATATACAAATGAAATAATAAGCTCTGCTCATTCACCTGCATTCTGCGCTTAGCGCAGTAAATCTTACCACATAAAAAAACGCTGCTATTTAAATTGACATAAAAGTAACATATTTTTTATTTAACAAACAGTAAGCATTGATGTGTCTTTGTACACTATGTACATATAAGGAATCGTGCAAATTACTACCCATATATACATATGGGTGCATTTATATCTTACCGTTAGAGTTCACAAAATAGCTATTCTGTAATGGGTAGATATGATTGCAATCCGTCTGTACTACAGGAGGATGTCTAATATCCAGTAAGTTTATTAGTTTTTAAAATTGTTAAAAAGGAAGCAACACAAGTGAATTAGATATATTGCACAGAGATTCTTTTTTATAAAATTCCATTTAAAAGTTAAAAACATCAAGTATTGAGGACTTTGAATTCACGATAATAATCTGTAGACTGAATATATCATATCATTGATGCATTCGCAAAGTAGCATCTAAAACCCCATGAAGCCAACTTGTACTCGTCTGAATAATTTAAGGTAATGATTATACGTTGTTTAAAAATTATGTGTACGTGCGTGAGTGTAATAGTTATACTGTAATATACAATAATATATTATTTACACTGTAATTAAAAAACTTTTGTAATAATTTTAAAAACTGAAATTATTTAAAATTATTTAATATTGTATCTGAGAAAATAATTTCAAAGCATTTTGTGAAACTATTAATTTTAAAAAATTTTAAAGTTAAGGAAAACACACACACACATACTACAATAAAAGGAAGAATTTAATTCTTGAGACTCCTGAGTAATCGCCGCGGCCATGGGAATCGTAACGTCAGAGGCGAGAAGGACACATTAGGAATTCTTGCGTGCTATTTTTAAATAAAAAGATATTTTGATGAAATAACATTACACATCGCTTTAGCACACTTGTAAAATTATCCAAAAACTATGCTAAAAGCATATATGCTTCGTATAACACTCATTTTACGGCTGTTTATTAACTGTCAAGAGAAAAGCATAGTTTTCGGACAATTTTGCAAGTGTGCTAAAGCGATCTGTAGTGTTGTTTTATCAAAATATCTTTTTATTTAAAAATAACACGCAAGAATTCTCAACGTGTCATTCTCGCTTCTGACATCACGATTCCCATATGGCCGCGGCGAATACCCAAGAGCCTCAATGTTTGACAATATTTATTATTTCATTTGACAATATTTATTATTTCATTTCATCGATTGAACTGTTTGACCAATTCGCAACACAAATTTGACAATATTTATTATTTTATTTCATCAATTGAACTTTTTGACCAATTCGTACCACAATCCACTTATATGGTAAATCGTTGGACAGGGTTCTTATTCCTACCGCAGCATCTTTATTCCCATGTCGCCACCGTCAACTCAGAGTTTCACGGCGACTACTCAGGAGCCTTAACATAAACATGCAACTCATTGCTTAGCCATTTGTCAGTTAACCTAAAAATATTAATTGTGCATTAATTACATTTATATATAAAATATAAATAAACATTATATACATGAATGCGCGTTCGCACGTATAATTACCTGCTTATCGTTATCGAAAACATGGTCAGCCAAAATTTCTAAATATTCCTTCAGTCATTTTCCATAATCATTTTCCAATAAATGTACTTATCACAAATATATTAATTGATAATGCACAGATTCACTCAAGCATTGTGTGTTATGCATTCGCTCAGTTTTGCTAATATAACCTAACTTTGCTCAATATAACATGAATTACAAGAAATCACTTCTCTTTCTTGCACTATTCCGTGTTGTTTGGCGATTGTGGAACCAACTTTCTCGGGGCAGATGCATCTCTTAGGTGGCTATTCACATCAGGATCTAAGGAATTTTCGGAACCCTCGCAGTTGCTGATCAACGACAGCACTACCTGGTTCTTCGATCCTCCGGCGGCTCCTCAGTTCGGCGGTAAATGGGATGCAGTAAAATCCGTCAAGTATCACCTGAAACGGATTATCGGCGAGACTGTCTTAGCCTATGAGGAACTTACAACTCTTTTGGTACAAATCAGTTTTCAATTCAAGACCCTTGTGCTCTCTCTCAGACGATTCGGAAGACTTGGCGGCCTCCACACTCGGGCACTTCCTCATCGGCAAAGCTCCAACCACGGTCCCGGAGGACCTTACATACCTCATACCAGAGGAACTTACAACTCTTCTGGTACAAATCGAGGCAGTTTTTAATTCAAGACCCTTGTGCTCTCTCTCAGACGACTCAGAAGACTTGGCGGCCTCCACACTCGGGCACTTCCTCATCGGCGAAGCTCCAACCACGGTCCCAGAGGACCTTACATATCTCACACCAGAGGAACTTACAACTCTTCTGGTACAAATCGAGGCAGTTCTCAATTCAAGACCCTTGTGATCTCTCTCAGACGACTCGGAAGACTTGGCTACCCTTACACCCGGGCACTTCCTCATCGGCAAAGCTCCAACTACGGTCCCGGAATCATCTCTCTCATCGGTGCCCATCGCAAGGCTATCTCTTTGGCAGCTTATCCAGCAACATTTACAACACTTCTGATCACGACGGTCATCAGAATTCCTTCAACGGCAGCTCTTAATATCGAAATAGCATCATCCCTCAACGCAAATCAAGCCCTTCATCCCGGCACTGACGGCTATGGTAGAGTCGTCACTCCTAAGACTGCCACTACAGAACTCAAACGGCCTATCACCAAGCTGGCGATCCTTCCTGTAGCACCGGATCAATCATCTTTATCGGAGTAACTACCTACCCGGACTCGGCCTCATCATCAGCATCATCGCGGCATCATTCTACAACGCTGTCGTCGAAGACGGGCGGAATGTTTGGAAAATCTCGTACCTTCAAAATAACTTCCTAAACGGCTTCACACTCACTCTCTCATTCTCTCTCATTCGCTCTCTCACGCATCTTTCTTCGTTACTCTCCGTGGCCTTGACCCAATCTCGATGCTTGTCTTATCTATATATCAGCTAATCATAACCGCGCTCTCATGCTCCTTTACGCGCTCCTACATCGATGTCGGTCCTTTCCGACATTCTCGATTATTCCGTGAGTACCCATCGCGAGGACAAGTGTCGTAGTGCGCACCGGCCTACATCGCATATTAATCAGCGGACCATCTCATTTAATTCGGTGATATCTCCTCTTTTTTCCAAAGAGACTCCGTGTGATTTTGTGTGATAATTACCGCGTAACTAGCGTATAAGATTTTGAGTTAAGGATATTAATAAAGAAGACAATTTTTTAAGTGCAAAGTAAAGTGCGATTCTTTTCGCAATTTTCCCATCTGCACCGCACCGACACAAGAACGTTTTCGCGTTCTGACATATGTAAAAAATGAAACTAACCTATATAACTTATATTCTAGCAAAATAATAACTGCAAATAAAAATTTTAACTTTTTATTTAAATTATACATAATAAATAAAACGCTTGTTTTCAATAAATATAAAGCTTGAACATACGTAAGAAACTAAAATAAACAAAATACATATAACTATAGATAAATAAAGAAAAATGTGGCGGCCTACGGCAACCACAAAATTACGGCAGCGCGATATTCGCGAAATATTAGCGTTTCTCGCAAGCGCTCGCCCGTCCGCGCGTAGTGCGGGAGACGCCGCTAGTCGGCGCAAGGCGCTCGGGCCAACATGGCAGTGGAAAGCAGTCCGGCGGGCATATAGCGCGTCCGCGCGTAGTTGCGGGCAGCACCGCTAGGCGGCGCAAGGCGCCCGGGCCAACCTGCAAGTGAAAAACCGTCCGGCCGGAATATAGGTCAGACCCCCTGCGGAGAAAGCACGAAGAAAGTTATTGGCGCCAGACGCCTCACTTTCCAGCGCAAGTCGCTAAGAACTTTTAAACGTTGGACATACGCCACGGCGCCAGTCGCCGCAACTCAGCCAAGACGCCACGGATTAAAAGCGCCAGCACGCTGCCCACGGTGGCCGAAATCGCCCTCCGGCGCAAGACTCGCCCAACGCCGCTCCATTTCACATCGGCCAAACGGAGAAGGGTCGGTGCTCGGTCGCCTCCATCCTTAGGCGCCCGGTCGCCTCCAGCATCCGGCGCTCGGTCGCCTCCAGCATCCGGCGCTCGGTCGTCTCCAGCATCAGGCGCTCAGTCGCCCCCAGCATCCGGCACCAAGTCGCCGAGGACAACCGGCGTACAGTTGCCGGACCCACCAAGCGCTCAGCCGCTGCATCCGCTGGTCACGGTAGACCTGTCCCTCGGCGCCAGTCCACCATCTGCCAGGGACGAACCACCGGCTCCAGGAGCCCCGCTACCGAGGAAAAGGAAGACCGAGACCCGGCTACAGGCGCTATTCGGCGCTAGCCCGCCAAAATCCACCACCGGGCATTCCGGCTCGGGAATCAAGAGGGACCGACCGATCACGCCAGATATTGGACGACCACGAAGTACCACGCCTCCGATTCAGTGGTACCCTCCACCGCTTATTTCGCCCCTGCGAAGGACGCCCTTGAAGGAGAGCATCGCCACGCAGACGAGCCCTCATAAAATTGGCATCGACGCGGCGACACAGACAAAGAGACGAGGAGGAAGAGCACGCAAGGTGCTACTAAATAATAACAACCAAATCTGCAATCAAAATTACGATAAAGAGAACCGGCATAATTGTAAATGGAGAAACAAATAAATCATATGTTTTTGATAAATCACACATCCATTTCTCTACCTACAACTTTGGGTTATGAACTGCGAACTAGCATATAAACTACGCGTATAACCGCGCACCACACGCAGCAACCCATAAATTGGTGACCCCGACGTGATTGGAAAAGGTAGAAACCATGAATGCGAACGAGGAAAATATCGTAAGTAAGCTCGCAATAAAAATACCGCCATTCTGGAATGATGAATCCGAGCTATGGTTCGCCCAGTTGGAAGGGCAATTCATACTTGGCGGTATCACGCAAGATACCACCAAATATTCGTACGTACTCTCCCAACTAGATTCACGCCAGATCAAAGAAGTGAAGGACATTATTACGCATCCTCCTGACGCAAACAAATACGAGGCTATCAAAAGGGCATTAATCCAACGGTTGTCTGTCTCTCAGGAACAACGCACACGACAACTCCTAGAACTTGAGGAAATCGGAGATCGCAAACCGTCACAATTCTTGAGACATCTACGAACACTGGCCGCAAATAATGTTCCCGACTCTCTATTACGCACATTATGGCTAGGAAGGCTCCCTAATCAGATGCAGATGATCCTGGCCACACGGGCGGAAGACTGCCTGAACGACGTCGCTGAACAGGCCGATCGCATTCACGAGATGTCATCAAGAGCAGTAGTGGCGGCTACCACTGCGCCATAGGAATCGCTTGAAACGCAAATTCAAGCACTAACTAAAAAGGTTGCTACCCTCTTTACGCATCTGTCTAGAAGCAGGTCGAAAGAAAGACGACATGATAGAAAAAGGAGCCAAAGTCGCATTCAAAGAAAGAATTATGACAAAAAACACTGTTTTTACCATAATCGATTTGGTGACAAAGCAAAGAAATGTACACAGCCATGCACATACAGTTCGGGAAAAGAACAGGGCAGTCATTGATGGCAGCCGGTCGACCCGCCCTAAAACCCCGCCGCCTGTATGTAACATGCCAAGTAACCAAAAGACGATTCCTAGTAGACACAGGGTCAGATGTAAGTGTATTTCCCCGCTTGATGACAGCCGGATACGTCACACCTACGAATTACGAGCTATTTGCAGCAAACGGCTCCATAATTGCAACATATGGTTGGATCACAATTCAACCGGAAATAGGGTTACGGCGACCATTCCCATGGCGCTTTGTCATCGCCAACGTCACGACACTCATCATCGGAGCTGATTTCCTAGCGTATTACCACCTCCTACCTGATCTACAAAAAGGGGTGCTATTAGACGGAAAAACAAATCTCCACACTAAAGGCACAGCAGAAATAGGGGTGACGGAATTCATAAAGGTTTTGGCAGTTGAGAACAAGTACCACCGGATTCTGGCAGAATTTCCCGACATTACGAGGGCTACTGCCAGGATGCGCACAGTGAAGCACAACACGGTACACTTTATCAAGACAACCGACGGCCCTCCGGAAGCCTGTCGTCCACGGAGATTGGCCCCCGATAAACTTCAGGCCGCCAAAGCAGAATTCAATTTTCTTTTACAAGAAGGGATTATCCAGGTGTCAAAGAGCCCATGGTCAGCCCCCTTGCATCTGGTACCAAAGAAAGGGGATACATGGAGACCATGTGGAGACTTCAGAAGACTAAATGCCAGAACAATACCGGATCGCTATCCGATACCTCATATAGAGGATTTTTCCCAGACTCTCCATAACAAGAAGGTCTTCTCAACAGTAGATCTGGTTCGGGCATATAATCAGATACCGGTACATCCTGACGATGTACCAAAGACAGCCATTACTACTCCCTTTGGCCTTTTTGAATTCTTATTTATGCCATTCGGTTTACGCAATGCGGCACAAACGTTCCAGCGTTTTATCAACGAGATCACGAACGACTTGGAATTCTGTTACGCATACATAGACGACATCTTAGTTGCGTGCAACGATGAACAGGAACACGAGGAACATCTACGCGAACTTTTCGGACGATTGGAAGAGAATGGAATATTATTGAGCCCGGCTAAATGTGTTTTCGGGGCCAGTCAAGTGCTCTTTCTTGGCTATGAGGTTTCAGAGAAGGAAACGCGACCTCCACCCGAAAGAATAGAAGCAATCAAAAATTTTCCTAAACCCGAGAATGTTCAACAATTGCGACAGTATCTGGGAACATTGAATTTCTACCGCAGATTCATCCCCAGTGCTGCAAAAAAACAGGTCCTGCTAAATGGCCTACTCAGCGGCTCAAAAATAAAGAAGAAGGCACCGATAACGTGGAACGCTGAACTGGAAGAGGCTTTCGTCAGAAGTAAAAACAGTCTAGCCCGAGCAACGCTGCTAGCACATCCCAAACCAGAGGCAGACATAACTCTGACAACCGATGCATCTGACAAAGCCATAGGGGCAGTAATACAACAACGTGACGGAGAAGAATGGCAACCACTAGCCTTCTTCAGCAAAAAACTAAATCCGGTATAGTAAAAGTACAGCCCGTATGATAGAGAGCTCTTGGTGATCTATGCCGTAATTAAGCACTATCGCCACATGCTCGAAGAAAGATTCTTCACGGTATTTACGGACCACAAGCCTATAACATACGCCTTCCAGCAAGATCCATTGTACAGCTCCCCCAGGCAAGCGAGACACTTACAGTATATTGGACAATTCACTACCGATATCCGCCATATCTCCGGTAGACAACACTGTCGCTGATGCTTTATCGAGAATTGAAGAAATCCAAGCCGCAATAAATTTGGAAGAACTGGCGAAAGCACAAGAGGAGGATACCGAAGTTTAAGGAATGTTAGACGGGAACTCTTCATTCAAACTCCAGAAAATGCAGATACCTGGAACAGACGCTAAACTGTATTGCGATGTCTCGACACCGGTTGCACGCCCCTTTGTTACCAAACAATTCAGGAAACAAGTTTTCCAATCTTTGCATAGCCTCTCGCACCCAGAAACCAAAGCGACAGCAAAATTGGTTGCAGAACGATATGTCTAGCCAAGGATTAAGGCGGATTGCCAACAATGGGCAAGAGCCTGCATCAATTGCCAGAAAGCAAAGGTTTACAAACATAATCATTCCCTTGTGGGCAAATTCATAGGTCCAACGAAACGATTCGAACATATACACATAGACTTGGTAGGACCACTACCTCTCTCAAGAAGCTACTGTTATGCCTTGGGTGAAGCACGGTAAATTTCGGGATCGTTGCCGAATTAAGATTTAGGAATCTGGGATGCGTCTGGCGGGTTACCCGTAGCACTGGACACTTTATGTTAAATAAAACTTTTATTCATTACAAATGGTCTTAGCAGCAAGATCCGGATGCAAGCTAAGGAATTCTAAGGGACTTCTTTGCTTGCATTTTCGCAATTTCCTTGTCGCTTTTAGGTAGGATCTCTACGTTGCATTTTCGTAACGCAATAATTCCGCTTGCCTTGATTTCCGCGTTTTCGTAATGAGTGATTGCGCGGTCGCTCGGGCTTCGCGCGTGGCTCGCGTTGTCAGCGCTTCGTTCGGTCAACGTTCGTAACGTGATCTGTATTCGCATTACACGTTGAGCAATGTCTTATCGTATAAAATAATATATCTCTAAAATAATATGTATCTAGTGATTCGTGCTATATCTTTTCGGGCTATAACACTACAGATATTGCCTCACGGTAATCGATCGTTTCACAAGATAGCCTCAAGCTATACCGATGGCAGATATAACAGCAGAAGCAACGGCTCGAAATCTATTTACGCATTGGATCGCAAGGTTTGGCACACCGGTTAGAATTACAACAGATCAAGGAAGGCAGTTTGAGGCTGACCTATTTCGACAATTAACCAAGTTGACAGGTACAGCGCACATTCACACGACAGCCTACCACCATGCAGCCAATGGCATGGTCGAGCGCCTCCATCGCCAAATGAAAGCGGCTATCAAATGCCACGCAACAGAAGCATGGACCGACGTTTTACCCATAGTCATGATGGGGATCAGAGCAGCCTTTAAAGAAGATCTCCGCGCAACGCCAGCTGAGTTGGTATATGGAGAGGCACTAAGACTTCCAGGCGAATTCCTACAAAAAACGTAGAAAACAACGGGCGACACGAACGATTTTTTATTGAAACTAAGAAAAGCAATGAGAGACTTACGACCACAACCAATTAGAAGGCATGCAACCCCTGCTACATTTTAATACAAGGACTTAAAGAGCTCGACGCATGTATTCCTCAGACACGATGCGCCTACCCGAGCCTTACAGCCAACTTATGATGGTCCATACGAAGTCCTCGATAAAACAGAGAAAGTCTACAAACTACGGATTAACGGAAAAACCGTCCACTTATCTACAGACCGGCTAAAACCTGCGTACATGTTGGCGGATTAGGAACTGACACCAACACCAAAACAGCAGGAAAAGCAGAAAGACCCAGCACCCACGGAAACAAAGACAAGGAGTGGCAGAGTGTCACGCAAAACTGTACGTTTCCAGTCACCGGACTAAAAGACAACGAAGGGGGTAATGTAGCGGCCTACGGCAACCACAAAATTACGGCAGCGCGATATTCGCAAACTAATAGCGTTTCTCGCAAGCGCTCGCCAGTCCGCGCGTAGTGCGGGAGACGCCGCTAATCGGCGCAAGGCGCTCGGGCCAACATGGAAGTGGAAAGCAGTCCGGCGGGCATATAGCGCGTCCGCGCGTAGTTGCGGGCAGCACCGCTAGGCGGCGCAAGGCGCCCGGGCCAACCTGCAAGTGAAAAACCGTCCGGCCGGAATATAGGTCAGACCCCCTGCGGAGAAAGCACGACAGGCGAATTCCTACAAGAAACGCAGAAAACAACGGGCCACACGAACGATTTCTTATCGAAACTAAAAAAAGCAATGAGAGACTTACGACCACAACCAATTAGAAGGCATGGAACCCCTGCTACCTTTCAATATAAGGACTTGAAGAGCTCGACGCATGTATTCCTCAGACACGATGCGCCTACCCGAGCCTTACAGCCAACTTATGATGGTCCATACGAAGTCCTCGATAAAACAGAGAAAGTCTACAAACTACGGATTAACGGAAAAACCGTCCACGTATCTACAGACCGGCTAAAACCTGCGTACATGTTGGCGGATTAGGAACTGACACCAACACCAAAACAGCAGGAAAAGCAGAAAGACCCAGCACCCACGGAAACAAAGACAAGGAGTGGCAGAGTGTCACGCAAAACTGTACGTTTCCAGTCACCGGACTAAAAGACAACGAAGGGGGTAATGTAGCGGCCTACGGCAACCACAAAATTACGGCAGCGCGATATTCGCAAACTAATAGCGTTTCTCGCAAGCGCTCGCCAGTCCGCGCGTAGTGCGGGAGACGCCGCTAATCGGCGCAAGGCGCTCGGGCCAACATGGAAGTGGAAAGCAGTCCGGCGGGCATATAGCGCGTCCGCGCGTAGTTGCGGGCAGCACCGCTAGGCGGCGCAAGGCGCCCGGGCCAACCTGCAAGTGAAAAACCGTCCGGCCGGAATATAGGTCAGACCCCCTGCGGAGAAAGCACGAAGAAAGTTATTTGCGCCAGATGCCTCACTTTCCAGCGCAAGTCGCTAAAAACCTTTAAACGTTGGACAAACGACACGGCGCCAGCC